ATAAATGTTAGAAGTATCTCGCCAAATCTGTAAATTCTGGTTAGCCGCGATATGTTGTTCAACTGAGACATTTGTTGCTGGGTGGATTTGTCGTGAACAAATAAGTAAGATATAGTACACAGGTAGCTTCATAATATTTGTCTACATATTGTCTAAAATCAACGGATTTTGAGAAACGACTTACCGAAAAAGATCCAGCTCGTTATATGTATATAATAAAAAAGAAGGCCAAATACAAACCAGTAAAGTCCATTAAGACAATCGGAATCGTTCTTCACATCCCGACACTAGCTTTTACTATATAAAGCATAGGATAATTTTCACATTTAGTATGTACTAGTAATAATATTTAAATATTTGACCGTGTGTGCCGGATAATTCAAGTCAGATACAAACTTTATTTATCAAATTTTTAAACCTACAAAGGCAGTGGATTGCGCAGACATTTGAGGTAGGGTAAGCAGAATGTTTTAACAAATATACCTATTTTCATCATTCAGATGTCTAATATATTGATCATAATGAGATCTTCGCAAGTATTCATTTAAATGAAACTAATATTTTAAGATTACTACGCGTAATTTATCATTTTTACCAGACAGACGAGATGTCTGCCGTCATCACGGCTGCTGCAAAGATCACCGATACCGAAAAGTGAAGTGATTCGAAAACATTATTTTCATTAAAATGAATACAATTAGTTTCATATAAACATTGATGATATTCACGCATAATATTACAGCAGTTCGATCAGAATGAACATATATATACATATAAATATACTTAATGAATCTCTCAAGTACCGCTGAGTCACGAAAGTACCTTAATCGATTACCGATATAGATTTTGCCGCGACTTCGTCCGCATGGAATAGTGACTTCCGACAGATTTTTGGTTCTTCCCACATAGTTTCCGTTCTTGCGGGGTTTTCGAAATGGTCGACTTAGAATTTTCAGAATAAAACCTATGTTTTTTTTTATTCACAATGAAGTACTCTTAATCAACAACATAATTATTTTTTTCTTTGAATAAACATTAATATTATTATGTTGATACATGTTTCGTAAGCATAACCCGATATTAAGTTTTCGGTATAACAATGGTGTAAAGTACGGAATGCTGACTCTGAGCCATCGGTGGGACTGGGAAAGTGAAGTGGACACCACACGCCTTGCACCATCGGTGAGAATGAAGAATGGGATTTTTACATATATTCAGTCTGGAGTCAACCGCTGACTTACAGACACCTCTTTAGTATGTAGTTAGTTATAAGACTTAATTATAGAATGGGTCTTAAGTCAATAGCTGACTTAAAGACTCCGCCCTAGCTAGTAGTTAAATTTAAGTCTTAATTGGTAATTGAATATATTTTGTAAGTAAAACGGATTTTTCTTGCATCCTTCGCTGCCACCAAACGTAATTGGCGCAGTCGGTAGGATATTCGAGTAATATTCGGTACGGTCGCGTCAAGATTTCCCCTACTATCGGTCCGAAGTCTCGCGTGACTTACCGATATCGAGTATCCGAATCTACTTGGCGGACAGCAAAGGTGAATCCAGACATCGATTCAGCAAGAAGATGAAGTTCATGTAAGTACTCTGAATCTTTCAGATCCTTACCTATCCTAGTTGTAGCCCTTATCCTTACATACATATATCAATTAAAAAATTAAAATTAATAAATATATTATATTCATTTGTTTAATGATATTTAAATATATTTTAAGAAATCTATTTTTTATTGCTAGCGTTTTAAAAATTAGTTCTCAAAAATTATCATCCAAAAGAATCGAGTTATCGTAGTACGAGTAGGAGTAGATCTTGCAGACTCGACGTTATTGACGAGTTCAGGCGGATAAGCGAATTTAAAATAATTAACATTAAAATGTCTCAGGATAAAATAAGTGAGACTAAAAAGCAGTACTCACCCGAGCAACAAATATTCGTTAAAAAGCCATTGGCTTCTTGTCAAAAAGTAGCTCCACGTTATACTCGTACGCAAGATACAGTTACGGTCTCAATAACGATCTCCCAATACATACATATATACAGAGTAACTTGACTACTATCACTCTTTTTTAAAACACATCAATATCCAAGAGTTACGAGAAAAAAGTAAAGGCAGTTCATATCCAGTTAATTAATAAAATCCCTCATCTTAATAATATAACACTTTCGTTATTTCATCCTCATATAGAATATTTAAAAGAAAAGCTTCAAACCATTCTCGACCAATCGCAGTCATTTGAGCTGAGTCGTGCTACAAGAGGTCTCGTTGACGGTCTCGTATCCGTAATAAAAAGTATAACCGATAACCTTAATTATTCAGATGCGATACAATTTAATAACTCAATAAAATTACTTCAAAATAACGATAATAAATTATTATAAATGGAATTTAACAATCATGTTAGCCTGACGAAAGATTGGGTAACTCAGTATTCAAAAATTATTAATAGCATAGTAGATAATCAGAATAAATTAATTATCAGCATTAGTTATAAATTTTAATCGAAGTTTAGAAGAAGAGAACCAGGAATTATATCAATACATTCATTTAGGACAGATTATTTTTATTATAACGTTGATCGCTTATCATACGAGTAGTAAGTTACAGATCGTATCGTATTAAGTTACATAACTTTTTAGCATTTATAAAGACAACTACGGCTCACCGCGATGTCATCAGTTTAAACTCAATAAGAAGTATAATTGATAAGTCACGTAGCATTCAATTCAATCGAGTATTATATTAACATAGGAGCCCGAGAGTATTAATACAATTGGGTTCATATTATAAAAGTAATTTAAATAATTATAGTACATATATGTATAAAATCCCAATTATTCCATCCCAAACATATAATTTGTATAAAATATCAATTACTCCTATCAAAATTCATGAAGTTTTTATACCTACCTCACTCCCGATTCCTTGCAATCCATCTGAAAGATTTCAAGTACATAGAGGCTGAGTGCCCGAAGTCCACTAAAGGGTATCTATGTGAAGAGATACACAACATGTACAGCCCGACATCGCCTGATTGTATAACAGCTCTTGTTACTACGCAGTAAAAAATTCCTGATTGCAACCAGTCATCGCATCTCTACATACGCCAGCCTACGAGAAACTAGACAACCGACACTGCACCATCAGTTTTCTAACTCAAATTAAAACACGCTTATCTTGCGGTCAAGACGTCTCTAAAATGCTACAAGGAAGCTTTTTAGCTATAATTCACTACAACTGTATTATACAAATATCTAACTTCATCATCTCAAATCTTAATCATAAATTAAAAGATAAAGCCTTGAAGATAGTAGACATTCCTGAAGAAAATATGAACGGTACGTCAAATATTTAAACTAAACTCAATTCATTTGAATAAACTTCACGCTGCCAATAGAGAAGTAATGTTACAGTCACCAGTACAATTCATCAAGGACAGCGATAGAAACCTCTTTCATACAACGATACCACTGTACACGCTTCTACTCATGGGCGGCCTTGCATATCGAAGATACCACCTTAGACACAAAAAGCTTAAGGTGGGACATTCCAGTGAAAATGAAAATCCACAGCAAAGCATCTACGTCATCTCTGAAGCTCAAGGAGACGGATCAGGTCGTCTGCCAGCGCAATTTACGACCAAGGTCTTCAATAGACGCTGTTCTACGGGGGGAGGTGTTACGTAAGCATAACCCGATATTAAGTTTTCGGTATAACAATGGTGTAAAGTACGGAATGCTGACTCTGAGCCATCGGTGGGACTGGGAAAGTGAAGTGGACACCACACGCCTTGCACCATCGGTGAGAATGAAGAATTGGATTTTTACATATATTCAGTCTGGAGTCAACCGCTGACTTACAGACACCTCTTTAGTATGTAGTTAGTCATAAGACTTAATTATAGAATGGGTCTTAAGTCAATCGCTGACTTAAAGACTCCGCCCTAGCTAGTAGTTAAATTTAAGTCTTAATTGGTAATTGAATATATTTTGTAAGTAAAACGGATTTTTCTTGCATCCTTCGCTGCCACCAAACGTAATTTACAACTTAAACAAATTATTTCGACCAAATTAGGTACCATAAAAACGGTTTTTTGAGTTGATCTTAAAAGATATACATATACTGTCGCGGACCGTTTTTTAGATCATTAAAAGAGCTATTATTCTTTAATACATATTTTTTAAGTATCTTGAACCGTTTTCACGGCGCACGCAACGGTAGGATTCAAAGATGAAATAATTTCTCCCGTTTTTTACACATTTGCCACTATATCTTTGCTCCTATCCGTCGTAGCGTAATATTATACAGCTCACAGCCTTCCTTGATAACTGGACTATCCAACACAAAAAGCATAATTCAATTCGAACCAGTAGTTTCGGAGATTAGCGCTTTCAAACAAACAAACAAACAAACTCTTCAGCTTTATAATATTAGTATAGATTTAAATCAGAATATCCAGTGGAGATCCAAACATTCTTATTATAAGTGTTTGAAAACAACAAACAAAGAAAACAAAATTGTACAAACCTGCTAGCTAATTAAAACTATCATAATAGTTTTGATTAAAACGAATAACGTTTCCCTTTTTTTAATTCACTCTCAAATGGTCAAGAGTCACACACCTTGACTTTACACTTATTTTAATTTTATTATCACACGACAATATTGGAAATCTACTCGTAATTAATTTCGATAAACACAAATCAGAATTCATACACACAAATCAGAACACAAGCACAGAACTCACAGCTATAATTTTCCATAATTCTACGACAGGCAGTCTTTCTACGACATTTTAAACAATACAAAATATAATCAGTGCATCTCGTATACTATGCATGTGTTAGTTTTACACACAGACATACAAATATAGGGTGCGCCAGAGAAACTTACTTATTTGAAAAAATTCCCGCGCGGTGAGTTGGGCGGGGAGAGGGGCAAGAGGGGGCGCATCTGGAGGGGGAAGTTCCTAAGTTTGTTTCTCCCTCCAGTCAGCTGCCATCATGCTCTGGTCTAGAGAGCAGCGAGCCTTCGCAGTTGAGAGCTTCTTTTCTAACGGTCGCTCGCTCTCGCGCTCGCTTTGAAATTCCTCCTAACAGACTAATTCCTCGCCGTAATTCGATTCTGTCGTGAGTTAACTCATTTCGGGAGTGTGGAAGTGTCGCTAAACCCAGAAATGGATTTACACGGACCATCAGAACTCCGGAAAATATCGAAAGAGTGAGGCAATCAGTTGTGCGTTCTCCCCGGCGTTCGGCTCGCAAACACGCAGCTGCTATGGGAATTTCTGATACCACTGTTCGACGAATTCTCCATGAAGACCTTCAATTTCATCCCTATAAATTAGCTGTTGTGCAAGAATTAACAGAACGCGATTTTGTTGCCCGTCAAAATGCATGTGAAATGCTGATTGACAACCTGTCTGAAGAAGCGGTCGTTTTTTTCAGTGACGAGGCTCACTTCCACATTTCCCTGGTTTATGTCGAGCGACCACGGACCATAGCACACCTCAAGAACAACATTCGCGACGCCATTGCCTACATACCGATTGATATGCTGCGAAGAGTGGATACGAATTTCAAAAATCGACTTCATCAGTGTATGCGCAATGGGGGTCACCATTTATCCGATGTCATTTTTAAGACTGCATGAAAAAAAAATTGGGATATTGTATTTTTAAATTAAAAAAAATTTAAAACAATAACTGAAGTACTTTTTTTTTAAATGACCTTTCAAATAAGTAAGTTTCTCTGGCGCACCCTGTATTTCCTGCACACATACACGAGATTTGTAGATCGTCCTTGAGAATTATTGTATGGCAACTAACACAGTGGTTGTACAAACCGCTGCTCTGGCTGCATAGCGGCCCTAGGAGTTAGCAGCGGCCGATCGAAAATGTTTGGTTTTTACATTGATAGATGCAACTTATTGAAAAATCATGAATCAAATGTATTTTAAATGTCTGTTAATGTTTGTATTTCTTAATGTATGTTATGTTTCAAAGTATGTAAGTAAGATTTAAACAATATAGGTTTAGTTGTTATATGCGTAGGGTATGCAGTGCTTATTTGCTTCTATGGTATGCACGCCACTATACAAAGTGATATGAATTCCCTTCCTAATTTATATCATCGTAGTATTAAGTATGAATTCCAACAGAAATTTAGTATACGCAATTTTATCACCACGTATTTACCTTCAGGCTGTTTACCGTATGATTTCTTATTCATTAAGTAAAGTGGACATATGTATAATACTTTTCCTTTATACTTGTCTTAATGAGAAAATAAAAATAATATGAAAATAACAACAAATTACTTTTGTTTGAATTTAAAAAGCGGCTTCTAATTGTGCATTTTTACATCTAAATAATTTTTACTATTATGGTCATCGGATGCATGATGAAAAAACAAAAATCGTGACGGAAATAAACACGTCCGTATATTTCAAGAACTCTTACCTAATTGAAGCTTTTACCAGTTTTGTTTTATTTTCGTAAATTAAGCTTTGAGTTACAGCAAGTACGGACTGCTTCAGAATTAATCCTTTTCAAATATCAAATCAATACCGTACCGTTTATAAGTAGTTGAATGTTTATAAAATTTAAGCCGCTTTCTAAAATAGTACTAACTTAACTATTTTTATTGTTAGTATCAGTTCTATATTACATTATTTTCAAATCTAATTAATTATTAGCTTATTATTGAGATTTCTTTTACTTGTTGAATGTAATTTAACATTAAAAATCATGCGGTAGTCTTACACACTAACACTACGTTAAATAACATTCGTGTGTATTATATAGTTAGGAAACTCCTTGGTCAAGAAACAAAATAGAAGCCGAGTTAGGAACTCCTTGGAAAAGAAACAAAATAGAAGCAGTGCGCAAAAAGAAACATCGGCACTTTCTGGTGGTCCGTCGTCGAGGCAACATCGCTCATGGGTTTTCGACTATTAATATTGGTTTAGCAATTAGTCTAAGGCTATTTTAAGGATATTACTCTGTAAGTACTTTAATTGTTTTTTAACTGGAGTTAGCAGGTTATCATTTCATTCCTTTATTTACCTTTTATATTTGTTCATTTTAATTAATATCGCATAGTCAAATTGTCAAATGTCTTACTGTTATTTTATTTTTAAAAATCCGAACGAAGTTCCTTAATTCAGAAGTGGGATAAAGATCTCTTTTTTATAAATTCTTTGGTCGACCGTATTTTGTTTTCTTTTTGACAATTATGTCTAAGAAAATGAATCGTAATCGATCTAAATTAGTAAAAGATGACGCCATGAGAAAAATAGATTGATATCTAGCCCACATAGATACCCTAGGTTCCATAGCGCGAATATGTTGTCGTAGATCGAGACACGAGTCAAGCTGCAGTAAAGCTTCTCGACACTCACCCGCATCACACTTACTTGGAAGTGATTCATTGAATGATAATTTGAATAACATTTTAGTCAGACTCAAAGCTGTCGATCAGTTTAGTAATAGTGTTGTAGAGTTACAACATAATTATCAGGAAATGTCGCTGAATCGGTCGTAAGAAATGTGTCTGTAGGTCACAATCACATAGTTAATAGTGGCAACGAGTCATCAAACGTAAATAGTTGAGATAACTTAAGCGGTGTCCCTCAGACTACGACTCACGATCAAGATACTGTTTGCTGTTCGCTGTCCCGATACTATGTCAGTTTCGTATTTTACCATTGTGGCAGAAGCCTTTAAGAATCTCGCACTCATAAAATTGCTTCATTATTACGTGTAAATTTTTGATCCTTCTGATTGATTTATTGTGTCTAGAGGTAGATCGCGCAATGATAGTGGACAGTGGAAGATCATGTGTATTTTTCCCGGGAAACATCTTATTTAAAAGGCGACGCCAAAACATAACTAAATTCATAGGTCACAAATGGTCGTACATGGATATTTTTAAAACTCATTTAAGACCTCTCTGTCCTCAGAAGTTGGACTCCGTTAACATTTCGTTTGCATGTATGAATACGACATACGCTGGGAATGTGAGACGTACATTATAACGTTTACGATTGGTTAAGGATTTATCTGCAGAACTTCGAATTGTAATAATAAACAAACCAACAATAACAACTTTCAGAATAAAATTATACTCCCGCTGCTAAGTCGTATTAATACGCGCATTTATTAAAAGTACAGGACACTGTGAAGACGCATGTTTTGTCAAGAATAGGTCAAGATTAACTAACTAGCAAAATGTAAGCATATGTTAACAGAAGCTGGTGAGAAATATCGATGTGGTTCGTGCAGTTGATAGTGCATACCGATTAACATATTTATCAATATTGGTGATCACAACATATCACTGATTTCTTCTGACCTTTTTAAATTACTTTCTTGCCAATCCAAGTACACGACGTACATTACGAGACGTTAATGAATACGAAACCTTTGCCACTCCTCACAATACAGTAACTATTGAGTTCAGCAATATTTCATTTTAAGATCTAGTAGTAGTACCGCCAGCCTGCATGAATAACGACAGATGCTTTGAATCATGTTGGAGTAATGTATGTAAGAGTAACAACAACAGTATATCACTCGCTGGGATCAGTCAGGTTAATCAAGTACTAGCCACCGAAAACTCTTTATATAAAATCCCTCTGCCAGGTAGTAATCTGGAATTACCAATGTTTGTATTGTCGCCTTTCTCGGATTTTCTTGTGTACCGCTGCCACTACAGTACAGTATAGGTGAGATGAACATCAAACTTACTAGTTCAATTCCAATAACTTGTCGCCCATACAATTTATTTTACAGGAAGATGGTACAAGTTAGCGAAATAATGAAGGATCTCTTAGATAAAGGCATCATTAGGGAATCTCGATCCCAATATGCCAGCTCAATAATTTCAGTGACGAAAAAGATTTTCGAGCACTTATTCGCAATACAGAGAAGGAAAGATATCCGTTTTCATTTATTGACCATTAAATTGATTTTTTAGGATGACATAACTTCGTCACCGGCCCTGATATGGCGACTTCATGAAATGAGAATCAGGGACGACTGTATTCACTACACAGGCTTCGTTACGTCCGCGTCAGGAGGGAACTACGAATACTGAAAGATGCCATATGGTTTGACAAACTCATCTATTGTTTACAATCCTATTATCAATTAATGATATGCTTCGGGAATTCATTGAATCTGATGACTTGCTCGTTTATATCAACAAAGTACTTCTTCTGAATTTTAATGCTAAAAAAAGGTAAAGGTAGAATTCTATTTTTTTTTTTCGATCAATATTAAAATAAAATACTCGTTTCTGAATACCGAATTTGAGAACTTAGATAGACATATAAGTGGTGGTCAGGTTAGCCCGAGCGCTAGAAAGGAGGAGGCTCTGCAATTACATCATTACATGAACTCATCTGTAATTTTATTTTTTATTTTATTTTGTTTATTGGAGAAAAAAACAGATCACAGGAGTATAACAAAACAAATATAAACAACAATACAGCATATTAAAGACAAAATACCTGTGTCCTCAAACATTTCTCACCAAGAAATATAACTAAGTAAAAATGAGAGGATGCTTGGGTACGTACCTCACTAATAAATAAATTTGAAAGGCGATGTGTAAACCTAATCTAGTATATGAAGGGAGCGATGGCGAATGTGCAGAGAATATCCAATACTTAAAACAAACTAAACTAAATTCCCAGTCAATGTAAATGAAAAACAGGACTGCTAGGTGGTTTATTCTTTTTTCAATAACATGTCCCGCAACTTGCTGTGAAACGCGGCAGAGTTATGACGTAGAATATCAACCTGAGAAAATTCGTTATGAGTACGACATATTTTTCGTATTGGGGCGCGTAATCCCGCATTCGTGTATGATCGCGGTACATGAAATAGAGATTAATTACAATAGTGAAATAAGGTCAGGGCCTTAAAATATTTCCACCACAATCTAGTTGGCATCCAGTTTAAAATTGTAATCCAATGTAATGTAATGCTCTTAAATCAGCTCAACCAACCACTCAACGTGTGATGCCATGGAATTTAGAATGGTGCCCAGATACTGGTGCTATAGTATTCGATGGTGAAATTTTTGAACTGTTTTGTCACTTTGCTCATTTTCTTTTAACGACTGTTCTCAGAAGCAGTGGTGACAAGTTTCGCGAGTCGTCACTTGTCGAGACGGGGACATCCCGCTGG